CAAACTAATTGTTGTAGTGTGAATTCGCTTCGAATAATTCAGCTAAACTCTAAACAATGAATTCACTGCAACTGCGTACATGACATTTCGCGTAAGAGACTGGGAAATAAGTCAAAGACCTCAGTCGGTTTAAACTACTTTGCTGAGAAGTTAAAGAAATGGAATCTTCAAACTTGTAAAAGCATGTAGAGTTTGATGAGTTTGCTGATAAAGATTTTAGTAATTCATGTAATGTAATGTTTACGAAGTGCCGTGAACAAATTTAGATTGCCTGGAGCTTTCATTGATGTATCAATTTAGTAATCATTCGTGATTTTAAGTATCCTAATTTTGTCGTATTTGTGGTCAACCAATTATTGTAAATTTAAGTGACTGGTTTGAGGATAATTACTTTTCAAATAAGATATAGCGGAACACTATCCATAGGAGTGATGATAAAGGCTCATCAGATCAAATTATTTAGTGATGTAATGGAAAATTTTATCAATTTTTGTGGCTTTCCGTAATTGGTTTTAAAATTTTCCGTAAATATAGAACTATGAGAAGAGGTTGAAATGTAGGGTTCTTAGTTCTCAGAATTGTTGACCGAAGAACAATTTATTGGTTTTATTTCCCGCAGTGATTCTACGTGAAATGGGTGTGACGTGAATGCAGAATTGATAAATTAATTTATTTATAGGAACTTTATATAAGTTGGAAGGTGACTAAATTAACAGCATTAATGTATTCGAAGATGTTTTATCTCAAACCATTTCCCGACTTTGTTCTCATTGTTGTGGTGAGGATCTCAAGAATCGGCTACTTTAATTATTCATTGTGAGGTAGTATCTGATTAAAAATGGTCTCTACAGAATTAAGATTAATTCTTTCATTTTGATTTAACTAGAATTATTGAGGAAAATTTTGAGATGACCCCGTCAAATTTTTGATTTCACGCTAATTAATTTAGTAGTTTCTGCCATTATTTGTCAAACCGAGGAACGATCGACGGAAATAGGAAACTTTCATTCTCATATTGTCATATAAGCTGTGAAATGTCTAGAAAAATTAAATTGAACGTCCCTCAAAATTACCCTATTATAACACTTTCTTAACTTACACTGGAGCAATAAAATGTGTTAAAATACCAGTAACAAGTCCCTGTTAATTATTCTCACAACTTAGTTTAATGATGCTTCCTATATGTAAGTCACGCAATGCAATTAATACTCACTTCGCCTCATGCCATACTATATGTAAATCATACCATATAAAAAACATTAGTGTCTTTATAGACAATTTTTAAAAGATGACGCACTAGCATTATTAAAGGCCACGAAATAAGCACAGGAAACATAATTTAAAAAATCCTTGAGAGATAGAGACCTTTGTAGATTTAATTAACAAGAACAGGATGAAGTGAGTGTAAAATGTTTTACATGAAAGCTTACATTAAAATCCTGCTGTAAAGTTGCAAGTCAGCTTTCAAGCGGAAACTTGACCAAATATAATTAAACAATTATTCCTGGTTTAAACAATTAGTTCTGGTTGCAACGAATTTCCAAAAGTTTAAATCTTGATACTTTCCAAAATAACTCTTCGGTAGCATTTAAAATTACTATTAATATTTGTTCATATCGTGTGGTAAATCCGATGTAATGCAATTTATTTGTGACCTTTCAACTCAGTGCAATAACTCGATAGTTCACTGTGTTTAATACCTTTGATTTGAAGTTATCATCTTTAACTGTAGACATTTGACACAATTGATAACACAACGTCCGGTTTAAAATTTTCCCTAGAAACTAAAACAGAAAAGCAGATGACGATTATTGTTATTGTAGTAGTTGCAATCTTTACGAAGCGATTCGTGGAAGGTATGATAATGCGATGATAATGTTATCTACCATTTCAATTATTTTTAACTAGCTCGTGGAATGTTTCGCCGTTTAGACCTTGAATGAACAATATTGGCACCAACACTTATACACTACGTTTTAGTGTCAATTGTTTAATATAATATAAACTTTGACATTTTTCCTTGTTGATACCAATTCCAGGTTTTGTGTTGTATGGTATGATTAACAATCAAAAGAGCGTGACCTTATTTCCTAAAATCAGTTCTTATGATTAAAAGGGGACAGAATGTTGAATAGTTGATTTCTGTATCAGTTTCAGCGTTATTTCATAATGGCGCTATCACAAACAAATTGCTGATACTCCATGTTATCTTCTGAACAGATATCTATGATGAACATGTATAATTATTATAATTCCAGACAATTTAGTCTAAATTGTTGGATAATTATAGTGAACTAAATATGTTTCGTGTTTTATGTTTGATTTTTTTTGTAGAAAATTTGCAATTATTTGTTCGATATCATCACATGATACTCATAAATTGCTGAATAGTAGTCAGGGTCGTTATTAGCTTTTTCGCACTTTTATCTATGCTGACCCCGACCTAGAGCATTTTTAGACTGTTTTTGCACGCATGCCTTCACTTTAATGAGCTGTTAGACGTCAAAGATAGTCTTCTAAGACGGAAATTGTATAAAGACCTTGCGTAAAGATGAAATTATTTATTTTTTATAATGTATACATAAATTGCCAAACACAACAACAAGAAAATTGGCACATTAAAAATAAGCATTTGGGTACCCCGAATGAAATTGTTTTTAAGGAGACGTTAGACGAGTCAAAAATCTTCTAGAGGGCTAACACCTCCGAAATATAGTTGCCTTGTAATAATTAAATAATTGGAACTTGTTTGTTTTGATTTGACGTTACTTTTTGGAACATGAATTAATAGTGTTTTTTTTTTAATAATGCGGTCTTAACAACTTGCTTCATTTTGCATTTTTTGACTTAAAACATAAGACGTAAAAGACGTTAGTGAAGTAATTACTGTAAAAACAAGTTCTAAACCGGGTCATGGGTAAATTAAAACGACGGGGCATCATTTAAAAAATTATGCCGACATTTATACAAAAAAAGTTAAGCATAACAACAGTAATTATTATTTGAATTTCTCATTGTTATTATTATTAAACAAATCTCGGAGTGATTTAATGGGTTCCCTTTTGATATTAATGAAATTATCTCCATCTTTATTAAAAAATAAATAAAAACAGATTTGAAAAAGCTCAGTCTTAACTTTGGATTTACTCTAATGATTTAGTTGGTATAGTGTTGCGAAGTAGGGTTGTGTTAGCTTTTGACAGTATAATACTCGTATATTTCATAGACGCATTCGAAACCCTTTTAAACAAAACTCGTGTTTTATTGCTTTAATCTGAAGTTACGTACACATATCAGAATCAAGAAAAAGGATTTGCATAAATAATCGCTGCACCACAGGTTATATGACAGTACTTCTGGACTTTTTGAAAAAAAAAAGTGATGCTTGGTTTGTACAAAGCCTCTATTTGTTCCTACTTCTGTGGGAATAGCTTTATCTAATTTTGCATTCTTTATTATGTGTACATTAAATTTTCTTGAATGCATAATGATGTTGGTAGTATTTTAAATTGTTAATTACGTAACGTGTTTATAAAGCATTACAGATTTAAATATTACATATCTACATACTTTGGACAACAACGACTTGTAATCTTTTATAAAATTTGACACTGCAGAGGTACCAATACCTACATTCAAGTATCTTATCATAGCCTGACCTCTCGATAGCTTCGTAGTGTATTGCCATCGATATATCTTGTTTCTTTTGGTAGGGTTTCACTTACTGATACGACAACAGACCTATTTAAAACTGTATTAAAATTCTAGCTGTAAGTAAGCGATAAAAATAATAATTTATAACAGAAAAGGAGAAGTTGCTTCAATTAGTTAATAAAAACGGAAGCATTACTATTAACAGTTAGATGGAACTGCGATGTGTTCTTAATTACTTGATTTCTAAAAAATGCGTAATTATAAGTAACTGGAGGTTGATTACTAGGATGTAATTACATACAACATTGAATTTACCGTGTTTTTCCTCATATATATCTAGAACATAAAAGCTGAATGATTATTTTGTGATCACTTATATTAAAACAAAAGAAGGTTGAATGCTAATGCACGTCACGTCCATGTATAATTACGTGTTGTTCTAACGTAAAGGGAGGTAACAAACATGAACTATTCAAGAGCAAAGTACAAATAAAACGAGACCGTAGATACTTAGTTATGCATCGAGTACTAAAAAAAAGTGGAAATTTAGAAGGCTGCAAGGAGACGTCGAGTCAACAGGAAATCAAAAATTGACAACAACCCAAATAAAAAGCAGAGAAAATATTCGACGAAGAGATAATTCATCAATAAATACTTTATAATACTTTTCATTTCTGAAAATAAGTCATCTTTTACTAAATCAGTAAAATATAGATCAAAATTATTTTTAAGCATCACCTAATAAATGACCTACACAAATCTAGTTTGCTTAGTGCGTCCAACATGATTAGGCTGTTCGAGAAACATAACTTAACAAAAATTGAATTTCAATGACGAGAGAAGTTGTGACCGACATGAAACGAATTTTTTTCTGAGATGTGTTGGTTTGTATCTTTTCAGTCTTTCATCGTATAAGTTGAGATGCCTGTTGTATACGCTGTAAATTTTAGTCCAGTAATAATGATTTTTGAATAGTACCGATTGCATACACGCGTGATATGTTGTCTAGTCGTCCTTGTACCTACCATTAATTTTATAGTTTAATATTGTTACCTGATGTTATTATGATTTTTTATTTTTTCAATTTAATTAAAAAATTATATGATATTATACTAGTCATAAAAGTAAACGTTGCATATTGAAATGTAAACACTTCGTACTTCTCAGGTTAGAAATTCAGTTTTTTTCATATGATAAAAAAAATCGATTCACATACCGTACACTTGGGTTCAACACTCGTAAAGATCACCTAATCAATTATTCATTTATCTTTAAACACCTTCTTATAATAATGTAAAGACAAAGTCATCTATTAAATAATAATGAGTAATGACTTTACATTTCAGGTTCGAAACTCATCCTACGTAGCATTAGTGGCAAATTTCGTTCCGGTCAGTTGACCGCAATATTGGGACCTTCCGGATCGGGTAAAAGCACTCTTCTCAACATTCTAGCCGGTTATAAGTATGCACGTCAAGTTTATTTTTCTTATTGTTTGTTGCACTTTTCTAATTTTAGGAGTACAGAAGCCACAGGCACAATTCTAATAAATGGAGAGCACAGAAACCTCAAAGAATTTAGGAATATATCCCGATATATTATGCAGGAGGATGTTATCCAACCGTTATTAAGTATCGACGAAGCTATGATGATTGCTGCAAATTTAAAATTAGGAAAAAATGTGACAGTTTGTGATAAATTAGAGATAGTAAGCACTCTAAATCTGTAAACAGCTTTGTAATTGTGATATGAAGATTTCAGATACATTAGATTTGTTAAGGTTAACCCCAGCGAGGAATACTTTAACGAATAAATTATCGGGTGGCGAGAAAAAACGTCTTTCAATAGCGTTGGAGTTGTTGAATAATCCACCGGTAATATTCCTAGATGAACCAACAACGTAAGTACCAAACGCGTTGTACCGTTAAAAAGGAGTTCTAAAGTTCGATCGTTCGTAATATATCAGAACAACCAATCATTATTTCACCATACATTGTATTTATGCAATTCCACTTTATATCTGATCAGATCATTCGATTAGACGTTGGTACTCCCCAATGACAAAGCATTTATAATTCTTGCATTAAGGCAACCTATTTACATGTTAACGGATTAAACTTCTCACTTCTAAACTTTCAGGGGGCTGGACGACCTTTCTTGTTCACAATGCGTTTCTTTGTTGAAACAATTGGCTAAAGGGGGCAGAACTGTGATATGTTCAGTACATACACCTAGTGCCAAATTATTTTCTCTATTTGATGCTGTTTATGTGATTTCGTCTGGACAGTGCACGTACCAGGGTTATGGTCCGGATATAGTACCTTACTTGTCCAACATGGATATTACGTGTCCGACCCATTATAATCCAGCAGATTTCGGTAAGCTAATCGCACATCTGTATTGTCATCACACTCTAATAGTTCGAATCTAATTTCCGTAGTCATGGAAGTATGTGCCGGAGAGTATGGAGACTGTCAGGACAAAATGGTTTCGGCTATAGATAATGGCAGAAATATATACCGCAATAACCAGTTAACTTCGCTCTTTGAAAGTAACTCGCCTACAGGAAATGACCAAAATGTTATACACGTGATGGAATGCATATCTAACAAAGAACACAAAAATACTAGTTGGGATCAATTTAAAATATTGTTAATAAGGATGTGGGTCCAGATGTGGAGAAACAAAAGTTACCTTCTCTTGAAAGTAGTCTTACATATTGCTTTAGGGTTGTTGATAGGCAATATGTATATTGGAATAGGAGAAGACGGATCCAAAACCATTTTCAATTTTGGATTCTACTTCAATTGTATTATTTACTTCATGTACATACCAATGATGCCTGTGTTATTATCATGTAAGAATGACAATTGTAGATAAATCAATAGAAACTCATTGTCAAATTGCAGTTCCTTTGGAGATACAATATTTAAAACGGGAACACTTCAACAAATGGTACAATTTAAATTCTTATTTTTGTGCATTAACTGTTTCTACCCTACCAGTACAAATCGTTTTGGGTAGTTTATATATTACTATGGTATACATATTTTCGTATCAACCTTTGGAGTTTGGTAGGATTGCAGCATTTTTTGGAATTTGCATTTTGACGAGTATAATTTCGGAAAGTTTCGGGTTACTAATTTCTTCAACACTTAATTTAATTGTAAGTTGTAAATTTATTTCAATTACGTACAATTATTAAAACTTTGTTTTTTCAGAATGGAATGTTCGTTGGTCCTGTGATGATGGTACCATTTATAATATTCTGTGCCTATGGATTTGGTGAAGGTTATGCTAGTATACCAATTCTCATCAAAATTTTGATGCGCTGTAGCTACCTGCGGTATTCTTTCGAAGCTTTAGTATTAGTTATGTTGAGAGGACGTAAACTCGAGTGTCCAGAAACGGAAGAATTTTGTATGTTCACCAATCTAGATGAGTTTATTGAAATAATGGCAATGAATAATGGCATTCTGTGGGTAGATATTGTGGCCTTGGTATTGTTTTTGATAGTTGTAAGGAGTGCTAGCTATTATCTTTTACGACAAAGGCTTATGCCTAATAAGACTTTTATGGCTTTACAGTATATTGGTAGATTTATCAAAACACAAATGAGTGAGGGTCGATAACGACAGTGATAATAGACTATTTTTTTACAATGTTGAAACAATATTGAAAATAAATTTAAATTTATAAGTAAGTGTGTTTTTTTTTGTGCACATATAGGCATATGAAAAATCGTGAGAACAATAAATGACTGACAAAAATGAGAAGACATATCTAAACCCTTTCTTTATTTTAATAATTCACAAAATTATTTGTGGAAAAAAAAATTATAAATTATAACGCATACACATCGACATGAAATTCAACATCAGAGTGATTGCGCTGGAATCCCTTACTTGCCATTCGTTAAGTGATTCACAGTGCCCCAGTTATACAAGTGACTCTTCATGGAAGCACTTAGGGGAGGAATGTAAGACCGTGGAATTAAAAACGTAGATAGATTAAATAAGTCGACAAAAACTTTGTACCGATCACTGAAATGAACAGAAATTTAGAACCAGAACTACAAACATTAAAGTGGTACCTTAAGGTTGACCTCAAGTAGTGATAACCTGAAGAACCGCCTGTTCCCAACTGAGAAGATCCAATCATTCGTTGCACCATCAGAACATGGTTATCTAAAATAATAATACTATACGCTTATCAGTTTCAGACACCTGCACTTACATCTCCACTTGGTGATTAGTGAATCAATGTCCATCAAAAGAGTTAGAATTTGATGAGGTTGACTAAATCTCGGTTCATCTCTATAAAACGTGATCATGATTGCTCCTTGTAACGCTTTATGCGAAAATCTTCTCTCCCCTCTGGTTACCAAAGCTTGATGAACATCAGGTTTAAAAATAGATTCGTATACTTCCTTCCGCTTTTCCAAATCGTTCAATTTATAGCGTTTCAAATCCTCGGAAGTTTCAACTTCTGCTAATTTTCTCTGTTCGTCCAAAAGCTTTTCTACTGCGTCCTGATATTTGCCCCAAAAATTGAAACCTTCGAGTTCTAAACCGGGAGTTCGCTCGAGCCATCGCTCCACCAGATCAATCAATGACGGATCTTTTTCCGATTTTTCTATCTCCCCAATGGCTATCGAATCGTTACCAAAAACTTTTGAGTAATTTTGATTATATTTGACTCGATTCTCTTGTTTGACACCTAGTTTGTTTTCAAGAAGGCGGAATTGAAGACTTTGAAAACCGGAGGCTGGGCGAAGATAACATCGGAAGTCCATGAAATCTAGAGGTGTCATGGTTTCTAGAATCATGACCTGATCCACGAGAACCTATGATAAATGTACAAAGATTTTGTTTATCGTGCAAAACAAGTGTTGCAATTATTTATATGGTTATCAGCTCTACATGTGATGACTCAAAATTTATCAATTTCATGGTTAATACCTTTAGAATTAACACGACTCGGTTGAGGCGTTTCAGGATTTCAAGAGTTTGGGATTCTTCGAGGACATCGCTGAATATATTCCTGATGGAATCCAATTCATAAATAATTTGCTTGAACCAAAGTTCGTAGGCTGTAATGTAACATTGAATAATAAATATGGAATTAATTATAAATCAATTGAAGATATCATTATCAACAGTAACACAATAAGTAGCGATGACATTGACCATTATTTCTCAATATCAACTTGATCCGCAGTGTATTTTTAGGTTGAACAACAACGAGCGGAAATGGAAAGGGATATTTGGACAAATATTTTGAGCAAGGGTGGTGGATAGAATTTTCTGACAAGCTTTGTTATGAAATTAATAGTTTAAAAGTAACGTTAGACTTTTTGATCGATAAGTAGAACTCCCAGACAGTAAATGGTAGTAATCTTATTACACTTACCTTGATGGGTTACAATAAATAAATGTTCATCATGAACACGTTCATTATTTTGTTCACTAAGTAGCCTCTGTGCTCCTAGAATTTTATCCAGCATTAAGTATTCTCCATACAGCATTCCATCTTCGTCACCAAGTTGTTCAAGGTTTTGTCTTTCGCTTTACAATATACATAGTAAATTTTTTAATTAAAAAAATAACAGTGTTACTTACGGTTGTCTAACTGGGCAGCTCATGACGATGTGTCTTATTTTGCTTTAAATTTACAACTAAATCCGATATTGGTATTGGAACGGATCGTTGACTTAACCAAGCTGACGTAATTTGCTTAGGAATAATAGCCCCTGTTACAGTCCACTATCAAATAACTCTTATCGATTTTTTTGATATGCTGATGCAATTAACATACGTAAGGAAATTGGATCAACAGTTCATGCAATCTTTGTTTAAATTTCAAAAAATTATTAAGAATTGTTCAACGCGTAATTTATTCATGATAAGTGAAATAATTTATGATGTACAGAAGCATTGTGTTTTGTAAATCCTCTACATTGTTTCATATAATTGCACTAAAGATATTAAAGATGAAACAAGTAAAATAAACATCCACCAAGTTGCATTTATATAAAAACTAACATTGGTGGTTGTCAATTTAAAAAAAAGTTAACGATTTTTTATATTTTAATTCATTGTGGTTATATATTTTGTGGAGGCGTATTTCGAATTTAAAATTTTGATACTTTTGAATATACTTTTTCTCTTACATTTACACAGGTTTAATATTTTTTTAATTTGGCATCAAGTTCATTTATTAATTGCACCTTTGAAAATGACTTGACGCTGACAAGGTGAGTGTAACTAATGCTTTGAACCATATTTTTCTGTTTTTGTGTAAATTAGGGTAATTTCTTGATAATTTTTGATGATTTCATGAGTAATAAGTGAGTCGAATACAGTAGTCCAGACTCTACTTTAAATTATTCATAATTAGTTTACAAGATACTTTCGACAACTCTTAAAATTACCTATTGATTTATTTGTCAACAAAACTTGGTCACTCTAATAATCCTACTAATTAATCAGGTTTTCCAGCTGAAATCGATACTGTTTGTATTCTTTTCATTTTAATATACTGTTACCAGTCAGTCCTTAAGTATATCTGGAGCCTAACTAATTCTTTCCAGTCAATAATTAACACGAGAATGAAATATTCGTACACCTAGAAGAATACCATGTACTGAGAGCATAGTTTGCGAAAGAACATATACCTACATTTTTCAAATTATTCTGGTAATACTACATGAATTAACGAATTAATTAACAGATAAGTGAGGATTTTAAAATGCACATATATTTTACGCAAATGAAAATGATCTTTTGATACACTGGAAAAATTGTATTGCCTTTACGATTATTATTATAATGAAACCGTTAACTAAGGAATTATCTTTTGCATGCGACTAAATCTTTTAATATGGAGCATTACTATTTCTATTGTGGTGTCCCACTTTGAATTAAAGTATAGCATAGAAATACGGAGTTGTGTTATACCTGCCTATACTGGATGTGTATTTGCATCCAGTTACTTTAACTCAGTTTTATCTTTTTCTAAGTGTTTTTTAAAATTGTGATATTCAAATATTTGCATTGATTTGGAGCATTTGAATTTTTAAAAAATTTTGTTCACATGTCAAATTTTGGCAGAATATTGGGAGTTATCACACTATATACGTTTATAATTATAATGGAGTGTAACTAGTGTTAGAAATAAGACAAATAAATACCTCGGTAATTTTAATACGTTTAAGTGTGTATCCATTATTAGGATAACGCTACGTGTTCTTAACTTCCACTTAGGTGCACGAATCAACTCCCTGCAGATCATTTCGTAATACGTTAATGTATTTTTGTTTATTAAAGAGTTACGTGTAGATAAATTATTGTATCGAAAGTTTTCCATTTTCGTTGTTAAAATGTCGTACAACCTTTCGAGATACGATATAAGATTTTTGGACTATATGTACAAAATCGGAAATGTACTATCAATTGTACCTGCTTATAGTTTCGACAAATGCGTTTTGATTGCACCACATTTAACAAAACTATATGCATATATTTTCCTCATATTGGAAATTCTGGGTACAACGTGGATTATCTACATACGACGTTTTAGTTCCGACATAAGTTTCTTCACTATAACATTTAGGCTTCTCGGAACATGTGACAATTTAATCTTGACAGTGTTTAAAATTTCACTTATTCTTGGTATCTGTTGCTTTAAACAACAATCGTGGTTGAAACTTAACAACAAATTTCAGTTTATTGATAAAGAACTACATAACCGAGGCAGAAAAGAATCGCGTCTGCTACAAAATGTTTACATACAATTTTTTCTTTGTAATTTGATTTTCTTTTCGAGTGTTGTATTTACAATTGTTGTACGTATACTTGAAAAGGGGTTTTCAACTTTAAAAATGTTCGTAATACATGAAGTTAGTGGCTACTACAATTTTTACGTTCATGTTCTAATTTGGAACATAGCTCTCGCATTTCGGGCGAGATACAAATGCGTAAATGAACAAATTGACAAGATCCTTTGTACTGCAAGAAAAGAGTATCCAGTTCAGTTGTTGAAAGAAATTGAAAAAATGTCAACACTTCTAGGAGAAATGGTTGCTTTGTTCAATGATATTTTCGGGTTACCAATGGTTTTTATGACAGGAAGATGCGTTATAAAGACGCTTGTAGCTCTTAATTTTTTCACGAGTACGTTACACATAGATAATCCAACATTGAGGAATCGTTTAACAATTTCTAGTATTGGTCAGTCTGTAGTGCCATTGGTATAGTTCTTAGCTTTATATGAGTGATTTTTTTAATTCGTTTATTTTAGGTTTTAATTGGAATTTTAATACTTTGTTGTGACTCCGCAAAATCTGAAAGTCAGAAAACTGTACTTTTGTGCTATAAGTTAAGACAAAAATATTCTGACCAACCCGAAATACAAAAAGAAGTGCTAGAACTTGCGCATGTCATCGATAAACATCGAGCGATCTTTACGGCTGGTGGTTTCTTTGAAGTAAACAGGTCTGCCCTGTTTGGGATTTTGGGAACCACTACGACTTACCTGATTGTTACGATTCAGTTTAACCAAAGTTTAAAATATGTGTAAAATTGTTATGTTATGTAATGTAGTGCATGGTGGCTTGTTAGCACTTTTTTAACTGCATGTGACGCTCTCTCGAGGTAGTGATAATTATCCAAATGTTATTTTGTTCTAATAATATTTTTTTGTCTGTAGCTGTTGCTCCTGTAAAACTATATGCAAATAAAAAAAACTACTTCTGTGTCATTTATTTTTAACTGATGTCATCATCTCTTTGGATGGAATGAATAACTACAGTTTAAGTGTTCTGTAACTATCCATGTCAGTGCTATTACAACCGTACTTCAGTTCCTTACCAATTCAATTTAAAAGTTAGAACTCGTGAATATTTACAAAATGAAAAACCCGTTCTATGTAGATGAAGAACAATGGTAGAATAAACGTACTAAGAGATCTAGTACAGCGGTTATATAGTGGGGGTTCTAGTTTATTTTTTCGCGGGAATTCGTGCGCAGGCTTGGCTTTTGAGTCACTTGATTCTGCGCATGCTCGGGTTCTAGCCACTTATGGGCGAAACTTTGAATTTCGGCTTTCATAGACGGTTGTACTTCAGTAATTAACTGGTGCTTTTTACTTCGATGGATATTTTTTATTTAATTAACATTAGGCGCAGTTTAAGATCCGGTTTTTTACACGTATTAATAATGCTAAAGGCCTTTACCTAATCGATCTGAATTTAAAAATATGTACTAATTTAACGACAACTGGGTGATGGGAGATTCGAATAAAACAAAAATTTGCCTTGGCAATTTATTGGACACTAAGCTCCAAAAGGTGGAATACACAGAGAATCAATATCGCTTTAACCACTTGTATTAGTGTTTTTTTAATACTCACAAAAGCTTCGCCTCCAGCGATATCAACCTTTCTTAACAACTCTCTAAAACTTATCGTAAATCTGACATAAAATTTATATTAATTTTAACATTACGTAATTTATTTAGGAACAAAAAATCCATAACAAATCTATTAGTACCATTTCCTTCTTAAGATGTACATGTTGGTAATAGTGAGTACGAGTATAATATAAACATGAAGAATACAAAAACTAACAAATTAACTTTAGGACTAGAATTTGACGTTTATATTAAAACTACAACTACAATATAAATAAAAAAACATTGGTCCTTACGCAAAAAACTCGCTTTTACTTGACATTTCATACTCAAGTTCTTCGTTTTTGTACATATCAATCATCTTTTGAATGTCGTGGGACAACATTTCCAGCTGTTTATCATGTTTCATTTTTAACTTATCTTTTTCTTTTAACTGTTTGTTCGCCGCTGCTTTTCGTTCTTCGACAAATCTTTTTGTGTTGTTTTGTTGCTTCTCTTTTAATCTCCGTTCTTTATCACGTTTGGTTTTCAAGTTTTTGTCATTGGCGACCTAAAATCAAACGAAGATGACAACAATCCACACAAATGCGTTACACAATTACTTCTTTTGCGGTTTCAACGGATATTTTGGCTTGTTGGCTGTTCATTTCTTTCATTTCTCTGTCATGTTTGGCTTCTAATTGTTTCATTTGAGCAGCCTGCAATATTTGCATGTGTCTCTTTAAAGCATCGCGTTGTTCGTCTAGCTGGTTTCGCAAAAACTCCCACTCTTGTTTTCGATGACGTTCCATCAGAGTGCTCCATTCCAAAGTTTGTTCGGTTACCAGTTTACGTACTGCCGGGTCATTAACCAAATCACTTTTACTAAAACATAAAATGAAACAAAACCATAATGAAAAAAAAAGATACTACTTTTTGCCCTTAATTAATTTGTCGATGGCGGCACACTGCGATTTTTGTATTCCTAATTTCTCTTTCGTTTGCTTCTTTTTCAAGGTGTCATATTCTTTCTGCTGTTTTTTTGTGGTCTTTTGGAATGCCTTGTCTTGCTTAATCGATTCTATAGTAATTGCTTCGAAAACCAGCGGTTCTTCTTTTCTTTCTTCTCTTTCTTTATCTTTTCTATCTAGGCCCTTATTATCGGTAACTTCGATTCCCATCGAAGACATTTGCTCATTTTGCTTTTGTTGAGCACCCATGAATCCTCTCGGGTCGCTTAAGGCAGCCATGAAATCTTCAAAGCCGTCAGGAACGTAGATTTTAAGTTCGATATTACAGAACAACATAGGAAGAGACATAGGAAAATTGGCTTCTGTTCGTAATGAAATATGTCTATATCCAGCTTGTAGGCCATCCAAGGGTAAAATACGTTGTCCCAATAGTCGACTGTTTTCATCATATACTCCAAAACGCAATACAGCTAGATCGGGAAGAACGACTTTTCGAAAAAGGAAGGGTTCCTCATTGTACACAGGGTTCAAACCATTCGCTGGAACCATACGCGTTTTAAACTCTTTTCTTATAGTATCTGTGGGTAAACCATACATATCGACTTCGACATAGGTACCGACCTATAATTAGTAAAGACTTATTTCAGGAATTTTCTGAAAAACGTTACTACCTTTTTGTCAGACAAGAATTGACCTGCTATAACTTGTACTGAACACTGAGCAGCGATCACGCCGTCTACGGGACTTTCGGCGAAAGGGTCAAAAGTTCTGTCATGTCTCCTCATAAAGTCTGGTTTCAACAAATAACCACAGTTGCCGTTGTATTCGAACTTGCCCTGATTCAACTGCATTGGTAAGTCGGAAGTTTGGAAATTTAAAGAAACCATTTGGCAACCAGCATTCCAGAAAACCTGAGGCATGTAATTGGAAGAGTTGGCTCTTGCACCACTGGGATAAATGCGGGACATTTGGCGTTTGTTGTAATTGACAAAATCGATGGCTTGGCACTTTAGAAGACTTAAACCGGCGGGTTCGGAGAAACTCGACATGTTATGGTGGATGTTCCGTTCTAGTCGATGGTAGTTTTAATACAGGAAGAATAGAGGAGTTGAAACACTTACCTTCGGCATAATCGAAACTTTGAAATTTTACTGGTTGAGCGTAGTTTACCATGGAGCTCAGCCACGGATGTACGTTGGTTGTGGATCCCACATACTGTATATTAGTAGTGGCGATGTCACCTTCACCAGGAGTACATTCCGTAGCTGGTGTCTGAAATGGCAAACATAGTTTGCTATGGACCGGTACTAGAATCCTTAATGACTTACCTCGGCCGAAATATCTGGCGGAATGGGTCTATCAGCTGACGCACTAGCGTCTTCCTTTTCTTCGTCTTCAATAACAAATTCTCCCTGCCGGAACAATTCAAGCTCTTGCTTTTCTACCTCTGGCTTCAACCTTTTATTTTTGATTAATATCTTTCTCTTCAATGAAGAAGGAGGTGGTAGCGGTATTCCTGGTTCTAAGGAATAGTCTTCTAACGGTTCCTTCAATAATAAATCACCCAAAATTTCGTCACAATACTTCGCCAGTTTGTACTGTTGGGTTTTGCAACAATGATTTTCAAAGGATAGGATTACAGGATAGTCAGATGTAACGAAAGCTGTATCTCTAATGGCATAAATTACGTCTTTAAAGAGTATATCAGTGCACATGGCTCTTCCGTGTGTGATGATAGGTTCTTCATCTTCACCCTTTCCTACAATTCGAATCATTTCCCTGAATTGACTTGGTCAAAAGTTTCAAAACACTTACCATCCCAACAATCAAGTTCTACACAGCGACAACCGGCTAACAGAACTTGACGGTACATTTCTACAGAAGACTTTCCTCCAAACTGTCTACCACTCAAGTAAGTATTATGACTAGAATTGATGTAATAAGCACACAGTGGCTGATCCATGTCCATGTAAATGTCCAATCGGTCGAGAAAAACTGGCGCATTTTCATCCGACATCAAATATCTATACACATTGTCATGTAAATGACACATTCGGAAACAATAATTTTTACAATACCTGATCAATCCATCTTTGGTTAGTCTATTCGCAGCTCTCGCAGCTTCATCTTGTTCATAAGTGGTAATAATTTCTGACGCTCTTTTAGCGTCGTAATGGGGATACAAAATTTCGTTGAGTCGCGGATCTCTCTGTTTCTCATTCAAAAAATTTATGAATTGTTCAAGATTCATATAATCTGTTTTTCCTTGCGTGCTGTAACCAATCGAGATGTAATCAACAGTATCTATTTAACACGAGTTAAATTACATGCTCCTGAATAACTCCTCGATGTCATTTCTCGGGCAAATCTTATGATACAAGGCGTAAAACTTATCAAATGTGAAGTCCTCTGGTTCTATAACATCATTTTTACCTCCAGGTAAATCAAGATCTGACAAACACTGGTAGACAAGTTTCTCAGTCTTGCCAGAGGCGAAAGTACGCGCTACTACTTTCACGGGTACTTTCCCTCTAGCATCCACCAAAAAGCCAAGACGCATCCAGCTACAAATTGTAAATCGTGGTTAATTTCGACGAAACTGAAAATGAGCACCACATATGAATTCTACGCTACAGCATGAGAGTTAAAGCAAAAATGAACCAAAGCTTTAAATGTGCAATATCAGCAATGTGTGTTGAGTGAGTTCCTATCTACCAAATTAGTACTCCTTTAACTTAATCGTATTTACAACTCACTGTTTCATCAGGGCAGTTCTTGGGCAAACGTTAACAACTTTATTGTTGTGAGTAATGCTCCTCAAACCTTGCTGCCAGATCTGTTTGTTGCAGAAGCCATGCAAAAAACAAACAGGTAAAAAGTGTTGCCAGAACAAAGAAAACATGCAATGATTTTATTCAGTAATGGAGCTTCGACAGTTACATGCAGCCGCACATTTCAGGTTAGGAAGTTAACAGCGAGACAAAACAAAACAACAAACTTACTGTTTTTTCAAACATGTCATGGGACAGAAGTTATTGGCTTTCACGTTATGAGTGATTTTTCTCAAACCATCCAACCACACCTTTAAATATGTTCAATGTATTTGTTACGATAAGAATTTTCTTGATGGAAAACTGAAAAGGGTTTCTCAGAGACAACCCTTGTCAGTTCGATTTCGTACTTTCTCATACACAAATCTGTATAGAGATAGCACATAAGAAAATAAATGGTGATATCTTGATTTAACAGAGCTGCGTGAATACAGTTAAATGAATAAGGCAGCGCATTTATACTTAACTATAAAAAAGGGTAGAATACACTCATGATAAAGAGTATGTATAATTATAACGTGCAATCAACAAATATTGTCCGATATGTGGTGTAGTAAAGGTAAGAATTTCAGTTAATTGGTCTAGCGCCAACTTGAGGACATTTTTTGTTGGTTGCACCTTATAATTCCAGGAATAAAATAGTCACGATGTTTTTAATACTCCCTTAGATGTAATATTATAGAACGGAAAGTTCGGGCAGCATGTTATAAAATCAATGAATGAACTTTTCAGAGTTGACCTGAAACCTTATTTATTATGTAACTTGATTTACGTTACATAACTAAAAGTAACTAAATCCGTAATTTGTATATTAGGTTTTCATCCAACCCTAACAATTTTTTTTTGTTTATATATATAATAACAGTTAGTATTATTATTTCTTTAAAACTGCATGAATATTTACTAAGAAGAGCAAATATTTGTTGTGTACTGTATGAAAACGTCAGCAATATTGGTAAAAATAATTACTATCATTGATATAAATCCCTTGTACAACATCTAACATTAGTAAACTGTGCTGTGATTCTGCAAACGATTTAAAAATACGAAGTCTTAAAAGTTATGGAAGTGTAATAACATTTGAGGTCATTCAGATTTTAAAAATAGGTAAACTAATACTATAAAATTTACATTTTCGAATGTACCTACATTTTATTACAAACAGCAAATATTAACGTCGAAAACAAAGTAATAAATAATTTGTACCAGAAATATCGGGGATTTGCGTATTACAAGTCCCACTTGAGGTGTGGGTCTGGCCACATTTTAATTTAGATTAGCAACGTCAATATCGTTTAATTGGTCATGTTTACCAAATATCCGAAATTATTACACAAAAAGTGTATTAAATTCTCGTATAATCAGCAGCTTTACATAGCATAAAATGGCAAACCAATATTTGTTAAGTCGTATATGTATTATTAAAACTAAAAGTTTATATATTTTTTAATTAGGGCTTACATTTTGCCCTTTTTTTTTTTCTTAATATATATAGCCATCTTTTCACAACAACAAACTTAGAATATGGTTAAAATGGTGCAATTTTAGGTTTTCAGTTCTTCTATATTTCAATTTTTCAACTTTCGGAATTTTTAAATTTTCGATTTTCCATTTTTTTTAATTGTTCTATTTTCCAGTTTTTCGATGTTTCGAGTTTTCATTTATCCATAGTTCAGTTTCTCTATTTTTAAATTTTAGATTTTCCAATCTTTATTTCTTTGATTTTTTCAATTTTGGATTTTTCGATTTTTTAATTTTTCTATACATATCTGAATTCTTCAATGCTTTAAATTTTGGATTTTTCTATTTTTCTATTTTTTAATTTTGCCATTTTGGTTTTTCGAATTTTAAAATTTTTCGACTATTCGATTCTTAGATTTCCCGATTTTTTAGGTTTTCGATTTCTCAATTTTTTCAACATTATCGGTTTTGGGAACTTTTCAATTTCTGGTTTTTTCATTTTTCGATTTTTAAAATTTTTCATTCTTCGATAAATTAATTTTTCAATTTTTCGGTTTTTCGATCACTGAGAGCTTATGTCTTCCCTTTTTTTTTCTTAATATACATAGCCATCTTTTCACAATAAGAAATTTAAAACATGTTTAAAATGGTAAATTTGTATAGGGAAATATCGATTTTGCAATTATCAGAATTGAGATAGAGTGGATGGGCGGAGCTTATATTTTGCCCTTTTTTTCTTAATATAGATAGCCATCTTTTCACAACAACAAATTCAGGATTTGGTTAAAATGGTGCAATTTTAGGGTTTTCGATTTTCCGAGTTTTCAGTTCTATATTTCAATTTTTCAATTTTCGAGTTTCCATTCTTTTTTAATTTTTCGATGTTTGGAGTTTTCATTTATCCGATAGTTCAGTATCTCTATTTTTAAATTTGAGATTTTCCAATTTTTATTGTTTTTATTTTTCAACTTTGGATTTCTCGATTTTTTAATTTTTCCTCACATATTTGAATTCTTCAATGTTTAAATTTTGGATTTTTCAATTTTTCGATTTTAAAATTTTTCGGGTTTTCGATTTTTAGATTTCTCGATTTTTTAAGCTTTCGATTTCTCAATTTTTTCAGCATTATCGGTTTTGGAACTTTTCAATTTCTGGTTTTTTTAATTTTTAGATTTTTAAAATTTTTTATTGTTCGATAAATTAATTTTTCAATTTTTCGGTTTTTCGAGCACTGAGAGCTTGTCTTTATTTTATACATAGCCATCTTTTCACAATATGAAACTTAAAACATGTTTAAAATGGTAAATTTGTATAGGAAACTATCGATTTTGCAATTATCAGAATTGAGATAGGGTGGATGGGCGGGGCTTATATTTTGCCCTTTTTTTTTCTTAATATACATAGCCATCTTTCCCAACAAAAAACTTAGAATATGGTTAAAATGATGCAATTTTAGGTTTTTCAATTTTTCAAGTTTTCAGTTCTACATTTCAATTTTTCAATTTTCGATTTTCCGTTTTTTTCTAATTTTTCGATTTTCCAATTTTTCGATGTTTCGAGTTTTCATTTATCAGTTCATTTTCTCAATTTTTAAATTTGAGATTTTCCAATTTTTATTTTTTTTATTTTTCAGTTTCGGATTTCTCGATTTTTTAATTTTTCCTTACATATTTGAATTCTTCAATGTTTAAAATTTTGGATTTTTCAATTTTTCGATTTTTAAATTTTTTCGAATTTTCGATTTTTAGATTTCCCGATTTTTTAAGCTTTCGATTTCTCAATTTTTGAACATTATCGGGTTTGGGAACTTTTCAATTTCTGGTTTTTTTAATTTTTAGATTTTTAAAAATTTTTATTCTTGGATAAATTAATTTTTCAATGTTTCGGTTTTTCGATCACTGAGAGCTAATGTCTTCCCTTTTTTTTTTTTTTTCTTAATATACATAGCCATCTTTTCACAATAAGAAACTTAAAACATGTTTAAAATGGTAAATTTGTATAGGAAACTATCGATTTTGCAATTATCAGAATTGAGATAGGGTGGGCGGGCGGGGCTTATATTTTGCCCTTTTTTTTCTTAATATACATAGTCATCTTTCCCAACAAAAAACTTTGAATATGGTTAATAAAATGGTGCAATTTTAGGTTTTTCATTTTTTCAAGTTTTCAGTTCTACATTTCAATTTTTCAATTTTCGATTTTCCATTTTTTTTTTAATTTTTCGATTTTCCAGTTTTTCGATGTTTCGAGTTTTCATTTATCAGTTCATTTTCTCTATTTTTAAATTTGAGATTTTTCAATTTTTATTTTTTTTATTTTTCAATTTTGGATTTCTCGATTTTTTAATTTTTCTTTACATATTTGAATTCTTCAATGATTTTTCAATTTTTCGAATTTTAAATTTTTTATAATTTTCGATTTTTAGATTTCCCGATTTTTTAAGTTTTCGATATCTCAATTTTTTCAACATTATTAGTTGTGGACACTTTTCAATTTGTTTTTTTTAATTTTTAGACTTTTAAAATTTTTGATTCTTCGATAAATTAGTTTTTCAATTTTTGGGTTTTTCGATCACGGAAAGCTTGTGTTTTCCCTTTTCTTTTCTTTTTCTTAATATATACATAGCCATCTTTTCACAACAAGAAACTTAAAACATGGTTAAGATGGTTATCTTTAGCCTTTTTTTTTTTTTCTTAATATACGTAGTCATCTTTTCACAACAAGAAACTTAAAGCAAATTTTCCATTTTAAATATGTTTTAAATTTCATGTTGTGAACAGAGATCTACACATATTAAATCAAAAAGGCAAAATGTGAGAGATCTATATCACTGAATTTTTTGAAAATTTATATACAACTTTTTCAAAAATAAGGTTTTTAATTTTTTTCAAATTTAGACCGATTTTGATCCATTTTCGAAATTTAACCAACCTAATTTTCTTGTAGATTTTGGGCAGCAGAAGTAACTTCCGGTCTCATTTCTTCGATAACTACAACCGTTTTTCCAGAACCGTCTATTGAAATATTGCAATTTTCGGAAATTTAAAAAAATTCGAATTTCACACCGAATATTTAGGACTTGAACTACCGTTTACAAAAAACTAAATACAATTGCAACAAAGCCTGGATTATTTTTGAGCATAAGATTTATAGAAAAAGCGGTAGTTTAATACTGATTTGATTTCTAGTAACACGGGGACAGGTATTAGCACCAAGTTCTGGAACTTTTATTAAAGGTTTAACATAAAAGACCTTCCGGATACTTCCAGAGATAAAAGGAATTATGCCTTATAACCTGTGTATTTTTTTTAGATGAAAGCTAAATCTTTCTGAATTTCTAAGTAATATATTAATGCAAAATTTTACTTCTTTTCTGTTTTTAAATAAATTAAGCAAACTGTGAAGTTTAAAATATTTAATCAAAATTTGGTTTTCTACGTTTGGAGACAAAATAAGAAAAAAAATCATAAAAGTACAACATTCTTGTTTAATTAATTAAACCTGGAAATAAAAAGTACACAGAAAAAATCATAATAGAAAAAAGAATACAAAAATAGGTGTAAGAGAGACAATTTACTTGCGCGTTTGACTTATAAATGTGTTTTCCGTGGTCTTCTTTTGTAAGGAAAATCTTCAAAGAAATTTTTACTTCAACATTATTTTGCTTTTTAGCTATTTTAGACCACTTTATACACTTATGTCAATTCTGTCATTAAATTTTAATACTTCCAAATGTGATCAAAGCTAAATTGAGTGTAGACCATGCTTTAGAATTCAAATGACTTTCTTATCACTAAATTTTGCTAATTTACTACATATGCAAATGTGTATTCATATATAGGCAACACATATTACATATTTGGACAAAAATTGTACTCGCAACGAACGGGAAATATTATTCGATTATTGTAATTACAGCGTGCAGTCGCCACCATAAAACCTTATTTACTCACGAAATTTAATATCATAAAAGTGTTTACCTTTGGCTCGTACGTACGCAATGGGAGTTTACCGACGTGTATTTTTTACAATTAAATTGAGCACTTTATTGCTTCTAGATAAATTTTTATTATTAGATCTTATATCCTTGACTAAATGAAAACGCATTTTCGTCTAATAAACAAAAACAGCTGAACATAACATTTATACATTTTCATTAAACAAATGAGTAACTATTGATTTCTTATACTACAAATACTTTGGGAAAGTCCCCATCATTCCTACTGTATATAGTTTTACTTTGACAACAAATCCAATTAAGTGGATATGTAGTAACAAGTGAAATGTGAAAACAAGTTATCTATGTTTGTATAGTTTCAAAGTAGTTCTATAAATGTAACTAAAACTCATGAATTCTTATCTCATACCGCAAAAACGTGGGTAGTAGGTAGCCATAGAAATACTGATATCAATGTTATCTAATTCATAAACAGAAGTAGTAACACACACCAGCAAATATCTTGTTTCATAATCTGAATCCATTACACAAACTATTAAAGTATTAAACATCCTCTTTCCTACCATTATCTACAACTGTTCATAGATGTAATAGTTAGTTACATATAACATAAGTAAAACTACCAGTTTTTGCTCTTAATGGAAACATTTGTATAAAACATGAGCAAATAAGGCAATTAATATTACATCACTTCATAAATATTACAAAGGTAAAGGTACAGAGTACAAATCAAAATGATTTAGTGCAGACTTAGTACCACCATTATGGAATGAAAAGTAACAATAAAAAATTCAACCGTTGCCTTACCTTGGCCGTTTCGCTATTAGGGCACACAATATGTTGATAATTGATGTTTATGTAGTCAGTACCACTACAAATGGTGAGAGATTTGTCCTCTAAATCTGGCCCATGCTTATTAACAAGCTGGCTATAAAGCTTCAGATCTTTTGGAAGACCCCCAGCCCGAACATCGCTTACTTGACACAACTCGATCACGTCTCCCTCCTTCAGAACACCAAAATGATCGACTGTTAAAATTTTCTAAAGAATACGTACTCTGCCTTCGCTTTTCCAGTAAATGAAGAATCCATACTCGTCGACTTTGAAAAAAGCCCTCTGTTCTAACTCGGTGTTATCTTTTTCTTCGGTCCACCTGTCCATGAAGCACCCAGTTCGAAGGGGCTCTGGCACTGGGACGTGCCAGTCGAATTCGAATTTCTTCGTCATGATGAACTATCAACACGAAGGTCATTAAAAGACGTTCATTTTGTCTTTTACGCAGACTGTTTCGGCGGAAAATTAAAAAAATTGAGCGGCAGCCACGAAAAACTCATCTTTCTGCAAGTGACATGTTTATTTACCTACGTTCTTACGTCAACATGACGTCATACGTCAATATTTTTAAGCGCGATTTTTAAATTACAGCGTGACCGCGCATGTTTGAAGTCTGTATTAAAAGTAATAAACTAAAAACTAATAAATAATGCTGTATTAAAAAAAGGACCAAGCAAATAATACACAAAATATAGTACCCTAAAAATTCATTACGGCAAATTTGAACACATTTTGCACTGGCAGGTGTTCAATATTAAATAATTAAATACATTATTGGATTTTTTATGAAATTTATTTTATATTTTCCCGTCACACTATATATATTATTATGAGTAATGCTGGTTATAATAAATTAAGTGTGAGGATGGAAGGAATTATTAATTATTACTGACTATTACCAATTAAGTAAGAACAGATTTGGTATCTCAACCACATTATGGTTAACTGAGCCTATTATAAGGTCACTGATATGTGTTACTGTACATGTATTCAATTATGTTTAATCGTAATTCATAGTACACAACCATAATACATTTAAACAATATATACTACATTATAAGTTAAATGGCCCTATTGCAATATTTCCCTTAGTTATCACGGCTAAAGCTATTTATTTTCACTGCACCTGCGCACTGAGGTCTTTGTTCAAAGATAATAATTTTAAGGCAAAATTGTAGGTATGCAATAAGCTTAATTGTGAAAGCAATAAGATACGTTGTTTTTAAATGTAGGAAATAAAGTTATTTTACTAAGCGAATAGAAATAAAACAAAACCAAAAAATCGTTTAATATGAAAAAAAATGGTTGTTTCTACTATAATTAAGTATATAAAACATATTAATTATAAACAGTTTAAAAAATTAGTACTTACCTACTGATTTTTTTTACAAACCCTTGCACATTTTTTGCAAACAGCAAATCCCGCAAAAGTACCAGACCCACTCGTTAATTTTTTAGATTTTTTTCAAGCAATGTAACAATTTTCGTGTTCAACATTTATCTGAATTAAAGAACTACGTGCAAGTTACCATTCGCTGTACTTATTCAACTAAATTTTTACGGAATGTGCGTCTCGGGCTTCAACTTTTATGGCAATAGTAATTAAATTAGCAATAATCAATAAAAATTATGTGCTTTAATCCTTTTGAGGTGCTTTGTCTACCAATTACATAACACGGAACACAGCACTTTAAATACTAATCGGTGATCATTTAATATGTCTTATACAATGCGTTTGATTTTTATTGATAGTTCGGTGTGTAAAACTTTGCGTGTTCGATTTTTCGTTAAGTGATTCTTTGGTGGCGGATGTTTGCGAACGTTTTCGTGGGAATCTATACGGTGGCATTTCCAATCTAGATTTGTCAAGACATAGTTTCTCATTCTTCGCGTTTTGAAAATTATAAAGTGGTTTTTTCGTTGGTATTTTGCTTTTCTTGGGGTTAGAACTGGCAACAGGTTTCGCTTCTATGATACTATAGTAAGGTTTTAAAGACAGACGACTAGGAGGTTTCATCTGTTCAGTTGTTTGATTATTCGGATCTAAAGATAGTTTCTTGGGTGTAGAAGCCCCAGCAGGTTGCCCCATGTCTTCGAATTTAGAAGGTACTTGCATTGTCTTATTTTGTGAATCCAAAGACATTTTTTGTGGGGTGGAAGAGGCAGCAGGTGGACCAAAATCTTTATACGTTTCTGATAAATCAAAAGTTTCATCTTGTAGCAAAGATGTGTCATCATCTTGAACTGTCAGTTGGTTAATCGATATCTGTGCCGCAAAATATAAGCGTTCAACAGCAATTGCCATCCAGTCCGCAACCGATATCAAAAAATTTCCAATTTTGTCTAAAATTTACAGTCGGGGTTAAGATGTTGAATTAAGTAGAATAGTTACCGGGGTTTGAGCGATTTGGCACATCCACACATCTTAAGTCGCACAGTTGTTCTAAAATTATGTTAGATAAATATCGCAGACGTATTGACACCAGAGGCGGTACAGGATTTCTAGCAGCATACGAAATACCACATTTTAATAACCTCCTAAAAAGCTTAAATGCGCGCTGCCTTTGCCTTTGGTGGTGTTTGTCCATTAAATATTTGCGTAACTTTTGCTTAAGTTTTTTTCTCATTGCTGCTGCTCTAGCTTCCGCTCTAAGTTCGGCGAAGTATTTTGCAGTTTCCCTAATAGGACGATGTAGATAGGTTTTTTGAAAGATGGTCTGCACTTACTCGGGAGACATCGCATACAACTGCCGCAAAAGCAGCTTTAAATTTTTTACTTTGTCCTTCGGAAGGTGGTACGCGTGTTCGTTCCATAAAGCCAGAAATATTCTTCTATAAGGTGTCGATAATTCATCGATTCTGTGGTTACAACATTTTCGAGATTTGGGACTTCGACTTCTTTGGGTGGAAAAACCTACTCCTTCCTCTATAGCTTCTTCGTCTTCAGTGTATTCTTCACCTGTTTCTTCTTCATCTTCTGCCATTTTTGCGAACGAAAATTTTTAGATTTATCAGAAATAAATTAGCAAGTTAATGAGGCAAGAAAATAATTTTGATACAAATTTTAAATTTTGACAAAAAATTACGCCAAATTGTGTCAACTTTATGTCACTCTATGTTGTATTCATTAGTAGGTCATGCGTACTTCAACAAGAAATTAGAACCAAACTATTGATTTGGTTTTCTTTGTGGCGAGGAAAATGGGAATCAAAACTACACTTCACAAAGAAAAAAATTTAATTATTTTAGGGGACAGATGTACGCCCCGGCATTAATTATTACAAAATTTATAATTTGACCTTACAATTTTATACACAACCATTTGCTACTCGCAGACGTACTGTCAGATATGCATGGTATGTGCCAATATTCTTCATTTTTTTGGGCAATCTGTGAAAATGGTAAAGGTTTCTGAAAACACAAGATTAACAAAAATTAAAAACGATTTTTGTGCACTGACCTTAAATATAGGTTCTCCATTTTCTGGCACCCTTAGCAGCAAATATTGTCGTTGAGACAACCATCTGTCAAAAAGTAGTTTCAGATGGACTTCTCTCAACAGAAACTTGTGGCTTCTCATTAAATCTCTTGTAACAATGACCGTATCTTTTCCAGAGTTTAATGCACAGTAAAGTAAGTAAGGGTCATCTTGAGATAAATCCTCAGTTAAGAAAGTTGTGGCATTTTTTTGAACATACTTCCAGTTCTTTTGGGGCCATTTACTCATATGTTTTCTTCCCAGAACTAGAACTTTTTTTCCTACTCTAGCAAAATGGCTCACAACAGCAGCAACCTGTTTAACAGTACAATCACCAAGAAAAGATTAGACCAGCGCTAGATATTGTTTTGTGTGGAATTTATAATTAAATGTTCAGAATAAATAATTTTAATTACCAGTCCTGATGTAACATAGGATGACTGCTTAACTCCTGCCGAATATGCAACATTTAAACCATCAATAATGACATCGAATTTTTCCATGTTTGAAGTAAATTTATTAAACCTTTCTAACTCTTCTGAAGTTGTTTTATTGAAAACATCCTTTCCTACAATTACATTGTCCAAAATTTTTGTTTTTAAATTATTAAATTCATCATCTGAGAGTTCAAATGTTTTGAGTTTCTTATTGCAGCATTTACATACACCTCTAAAATAAATTAGAATTTTAAAATTATACATTATTTATTATGAAACGTCTTACCGTGTGTGAATATTAGAATTTTTAATCACTACTTTTAAGTCTTTAAATGCTTCAACAAATGTGTCTACGTTTTCAGGTTCAATTTGAACCCCATTGTTTTGCATGAAATTGAACATTTTTTCAATGTGTGCAATTTTTTCAGACTGTGTAATAATTCTTTTAAAATATGTAATATAAACTACATCCTGAATAGTTTTGTTGTTTTCTTTAAATAGTTAATCAGTAATGACATGTTCTTCATTTAATTTAGAATACACACCTATCAGTTCATCAAGTAACTTCCAGGCTAGATTATCAGCTTTATTGGAAAAAGCTGCTGCAATCACAGCACTATATGTATTTGACGTCGGTGATGAAGTTACTTTAATTTCATCTAAGAGGTCAAGACATACCTTCCACTTTTTTGTCAATGAAAGGGCTTGTGTAACATTGTCTAATGTTAAAGAATCTAGAACAGGATACGTTGTCCGTAGGCTGTCATACCTTAATTTAACATAATGTACTCATAAAATGAAACAACTAATTGTTGATTATTGTATACTTACATTTGTAAAATTTTCTCTTCATCTTCTGTAGCCAGTGACTCTTCTACACCCTTCACATACAACAATTTAAAATACTTCCCTAACGTGGCCAAATTTAACTTGACGTTTTCGTTATTTAAAAAATCCAAATAGCTTAGTGCTAAATTAAATTTTTTCTTTCGTGTACAAATGCTCACAGTCATTGCATCTATACTCGCAGGGGTGACACTTCTAATTTCGTTCTGGATTTGTGTTCGCACATCTTTCCAGTCTTGTGCACCTTTAATGTTGTTTTCTTCAATAATTTTCCACAGTAAATTATTCGGTGATGACCGTTCTTTTGAGGGATTTGGACGCTGTTGCTGCCTAAACGTTCTGATGTTAATTTTATGGAAGGAAATCCGGGTAAAAATTTTACTACTAAACATTGTTTTCTAAAAAAGGGTGTAATAAATCACGGTTTGAAAATGTTAATGTCTTTGGCATTTGGTACACTTGCACACTTTGAGGTTATACAGCACATTTAGGTTATTTAGATTGTTTGCTTTGCACTGGCGCTACGGTGCGGTAGTTCGTATGACCGGGCTGTAATACTGGTTGCTTCAAATGCTTAATTTACTTTGATCTATAATTCTGTATTTACACAAAATATAAATTGTATTTAAGTAGAAAGGGAATATTAAAAGATGTTCTAGAGTCCAGATACTCATGGCTAGGACTTCAACATAACAACTACCTTATTCATAAGTATTTAGATAGATTTATTTACAAATATTTCACATGTCACACGTTTCATTCGATTTTGACACGCAACTATTTTTTTTTTGTTTAATTAAGAATTAATTCTTTAATTGTGTTTTATCCTAACAAAACGTGTTAAATTAACAATAATAATAATGTGAAAATGGTAATAATCCAATGAATTTCTTTCCGGAAAATGTAGTTATTTTTATGTATTCTATTTTGTATAAATTTTTAAATGTTTTTAGTGACAATGTTTGTATATAGTTATTTTCGGTACATTGTACATATGGTAACGAGCGTTCAAATAAAAACGATGTCAATCTGACTTTGTAAATGTGAATTTAGGGTTTACTGAATGATTCGTTCACATTTCCAAAGCCAACTTGACGTCGTTTTATTTGAACGCTCACTACTAACACTGAGAAAAAATGAAAAATTGAAAAAATCAAGAATTTGAAAAATCGAAAAATTTTAAATTTAAAAAATCGAAAAATTCAAAAATAGAAATATAAAATAATCGAAAATTTGAAAAATTAGAAAATTTAAAATTTAAAAAATCGAAAAATAGAAAAATAGAAAGATCAAAGAACTAAAAATCAAAAAAGTGAAAAATTCAAGATTCTAAAATTTAAAAACCGGAAAACGAAAAATCGGGAAATCAAAACTCCTAAATTAAAATCAGATAATTTAAATCGAAACATCGAAAAATTGGAAAATCGCGAAACCGAAAATCCGAAAAGTAAAAAATCGAAAAACCGAGAAATCGAAAAATTAGAAAATCGAAAATCGAAAATCTAAAAGCGGAAAAATAAAAAAATGAAGAAACGGAAAAAGGGAAAAACTGAGAAACTGCAGTAGGGCAAAATAAAAAATCTGAAAGTTATAAATTAAAAAACTCAATAAATCGGGAAATCAAAACATTAAAAATCGAAAATTTGAAAAACGAAAAATTGAAAAAGAGAAAATCTAAAACCGGGAAGTCAAGAATCGAAAGATTCCAAAACTGGAATCTCCCAAAAATTAGAATCTAAAAGATTTTGAAAAATTGAGAAATCGAAATATTAAAAAAGCGAAGTCGAACACCTTAAAAAAATCGAAAAATTGAAAAATCAAAAGCCTGAAAAATTTAAAAACTGAAGAATTGAAGCACAGGAAAATCGAAACAGTCGAAAGTTAAGAAATAGGAAAATCTAAACATCCATTAATTGAAAAATGGAAAAATTGAGAATTTAGAAAAGTCAAAAATTAAAAATTGAAAAATCAAAGTATTTAAAAATCGTACAATTGAAAAGAAAAATTGAAAAAACGTAAAACTAAAACATGGGAAAATTGAGAAATCGAAAAACTGAAAATCGAGAAATTGAAAAATTGGGAAATTGTAAAATCGAAAAATGGAGTCTGAAAAATCCCAAAACTAAAATTTCGAAAAATTGAAAAATTAAAGAAAAACTGAAGAAAGGAAAAACTGAAAAGTTGAAAAATTGAAAAATTGAGAAGTTAAAAGGTCAAAAAAATAAAGTCGAAAAATCAAAACCTTACAAATTGAAAAATCAAAAACCTAAAAAGTTGAAAAACTGAAGAATTGAATAAATGAAAAATTGAAGAATTGAAGAAATGAAAAATCGAAAACGTGAGAGTTTATAAAAGTCAAATTTGAAAAAATTGCGTATCTAAAAATCGTAAAATTGAAGAGAAAAAAAATTGAATAATAAATAAACTGAAATTTCGAAAAATTAAAAAATAAACGAAAAACTAAAAAATCCCAAAACTGATAAATAGAAGAATCAAAAAGGTGAACTCGAAAAATTGAAACCTTAAAAAATTGAAAAACTCAAAAACCCAAAAAGTTGAAAAATTGAAGAATTGAAGAAATGACAAATCGAAAAATTGAGAGTTTATAAAAGTGAAATTGAAAAATCGAAATATTTAAAAATTGTAAAAATGAAGAGGAGGAAAACAAAAATTTGACTTAAAAAATAAATAAAAATTCATGCAAAGTAGAACCTAACATTTCCAAAAGATAAAAATAACTACACTTTTCCGAAGAAAATCTATTGCATGATAACGGTTTCAACAGTATTTTATTAATTTGCCCAATTTTGCTAGTACCAAACATAATTAAAGAATTATTTCTCGTTGAAATTATGGTCGAACTGCTTAGGATCACGGAACATGGCTTAGAATCAAATCGTTTCTGAACGCTTAGAATCGACATTGGCCTGAGTGCGTTCTGGTCTGTAGATCAAACAAGTTTTCAGGCAACGTCTATCAAGTTATCATAACATATAGAAGTTCTTCTAGTACAGTTATTCAAAATAGATCCTTTTTGTGTGTTTTGGCAACCTCAAGAGCATCTAAAGGACGTATTGTATTGTAAAGATATGGATAATAGATGAGGAAAATTTATTACTGCCTAGAAAGAATCACAACTTTCAGTTTTTAAATAGCTAATATTTTTATTGAACGTTAAATTGAATGATAATAATGAAGTAGGTAGCTGTTACACTCAAAATTCCTAGGAACGTATTTCTGTTAATTTGAAAGAAGCCTGCGGCCGTAAATTTTGTAGTATTGTTAGCAATTTCTTGTGCCAATGTTAATAATTCTTTTCTTTCATTTGAATTCTCGGGAAAATTTTGCTGGATTCTATAACATAGAATCATTGTACCTATTTCTAGACTCAGATGCAGCTGAATCACAACACATAATTACGATTGCCATACATAGCTAAAAAAATAGTAATTAAACTTTCCACAAACAATTATTTATTTACTTACTGCAGAATAAATAGATATAAACAAATTAGCATAGATCACGTGTTGTGAATAAGTGTCGTCCTTAAATGTTAAATTCGGAGTAAACGCTGTCATAGTAAACTGTGGAGATGATAAAAGTTGACCAACTAATCTTCCAGTGAAGAAAATTAACGGCCATCCAAATATTTTGTTAAAAAGCCAACTCTTTCATTCAAAATTCTCCAAAGATCTCCGATTTCTCTGACAGAACTTCGAGAATCCAAACAGAATTTGCTGTTCTGGGTGTTTACTTGGCGCAGAAGCCTGTTTAGGTCATTAAATCTAACACTAAATGCCATAGCTAAATTGCACATAAAAAATTCGCAGGTGTAACAAAACTGACATAATCAAAACATTTTCGAAAACATGGAAGGTAGTATTCGGAAGGTTTGATAACTGATGTATATATTACCAATTAAAAATGCTGTAAAGCCTGCCATAAACTGAAAATTATGATTTTTGAGAAAATTGGTTTCTTGTCTGTTTCCGTTGTTTAGTTTTTCGTCGATGTATTGAAAATTTTTATTAAGTTTTAGCCATACATGTTGGCCAAAAATGCATTTCATATTTACTGAAAGTGTTTCACTCATTAAAAATATAACATTTAAAAAATCCACAGCAAAAATCGTTGCTTGATTCCAACGTTTCGTCATGTGAATATCAACTTCTTCATTAATCGCTAGAATATTTGTCACTATTATCAACAAGATGCACAAACACGCGTAGGTTTTAGTTAAAAGTGGCTTCACTATTAACTGTTTACCAAAATCATAACTCGGATTTATAGCTAGAACAGAGCCTACTTTATAAATCGTATATCTCGTTTTGACAGGTTGAATTCACTGACTATTTCACTTTCTATTTTTTTCATTTTTCTAGCACAACAATTATACGTGTGTCATGAATAAATTAAATAATTCGGTTAAAATAGCAGTTTATATTTTAATCATTTCTTATCTGTTTGCTTTATTAAGTGCATTTATTGGTTTATCCATTAACAATACGTGAATTTTGTTTTTATTTTGTTGTAATGACAACTGTTTCAAAAACAAAGTGTAGTGTACGCAATTAACATATGCTCGTAAGTGTGAAAGATTTTTATTAAAAATAAGTAATTTTTGTTTTTAGACGATTCTGAAACTTGTATCTGGAGTTATTTAACACTAACGGTAGTTTTCAAAATTCTAGAATGTAGGACGAAAGCTGAAAAGCTTAATGTAACTTAATCGGACTTTTATGGCTAAAGCAAAACTTTAGGTTTTGTAGTATTTAAGTATATCAAACATTAAACTGAATGATAATAATGAAATAAGTAGCTGTCACACTCAAAATTCCTAGGAATGTATTTCTATTAACTTGAAAGAAACCTGCAGCCGTAAATTTTGTAGCATTGTCAGCGATTTCTTGTGCCAGTATTAGTAATTCTTTTCTTTCATTTGAACTGTCAGAAAAACTTTTCTGGATTCGATAACATAGAATCATTGTATTTCTAGACTCTGATGTAGCTGAATCACAACACTTAATCACGAACGCCATACATAACTAAAAAAAAAGAAATTATATTTACTGTGCTCACAAAAAACACCTACTTACTGCGATATAAGTACATAGAAATAAATTAGGGTAGATAATATGTTGCGAATAATTATCCTTCTTAAGTGTTAAATTTCGGGTTAACGTCGTCATGGTAAACTGCAAAGATGCCAAAATTTGGCCAACTAATCTTCCAGTGAAGAAAATTAACGGCCATCCAAATATTTTATCAAAGAATCCAACTGTTTCATTCAAGACTCTCCAAAGGTTCCCGATTTCTCTGACGGAACTATTGGTATTAAAACACAATTTGGTGCTTTGGAGGTTTAATTGAGACAGAAATCGATTTAGATCACTGAACCTCACACTAAACGCCCTAGTTAAATCGCATATTAATACACAAATAAAAAATTCGGAGAGGTAACAAAATTGATATAAAAAAAATCTTTTAGACAATAC